TCTCGTTTATAATTTTCTTCAACTGAATGTGTTGCACACAGGCCGCATCATGTTTCTGTTGGTACGACATTTGAGATATCATAAATGAGAGATTCACTTGAATCATCCGTGAAAACCCCTGACTTGCAAATGAGTGTATTTGTTGAGATAAGGCCAATTGGATTCAAGTAGAGCATAAGGTTGACGGAAACTCGGCGACTGCGCGTACCTGATGAGTCCAAAGACAGGCGAAACCGGTCATGGGCTATCGAAGAGTTTTCAGCAACCTTGTGATTAGTCTCCTTTATGAAAAATACCTACACCTGTTATTGCGACTTATTCAACGTTTGGTTTGTGAACATAGTCAAGTTAATTGCACAGGTTTACTTCAAATTTCATATTTCCCACTGCCACTGTGTTGTTCTTTCCGTCCGACGAGATCAGTATATTAGCCTCGCTCTCTTGTAGGCTTACCAGTCCACACTGGAAATGTAATGTTTCATTAGAGGTTTAAATTTATCTGAATACATCTGGAGGCTGGATAATATTCAGTCCAACCATCGTGACTGCTAGGTTCAGCTAGGTGCAGCCAAATGATACTTCCCGAGGATTTGAGCAGTTTGGCATACAGAATTATTCCATATGTTATTGCTCCGTTTCCGAGTTAAACGAATTTGAGTAAAAGTTTTGTGGTTTGAAGTAATTCACATAGCTACCATTTAGTTTTCGCACAAAACTAGGAGTTGACTCAGTCCCTCTGAATAGTAAACTTTCCCTGGATAATACAAATTTGAAAAGATCGTACTGGGTTTCCTCATTTTTGGAAACCACTATATAATGAAAAAATTTGAGGGAAACTCTTAATAAGGGACACTGTCTAATGGACTCAAATTAGTAATCATTCACTTGATATCGCTATTGGCAATCAGCACATTCTTACTGTTCGGTCACCCACCAAAGCAGCATATTTAGTCCTGTTACCCTGGAATCTCAAGGTCATCATGAATGCTCACAGCGCTGATAGAAGTTACGGTTACAGGATAATAATTTGCTACTGGTCCGTTGGATATTTCACCAGCATTGCGTCTAAGAAAAGTTGGATTTGCGGAAATGGACGTCTTATATACACCGTGTTTAATGATCAAGCTTCTCTGGTTACCTTGAGACCATTTTGATGCATCGTTTTTCATACTTGTTTCAGGTTTTCTCATTCAGCTCCTATTGTCGTTTGTGGAGACTGCGTCCTTCCAACAGAATAGTACCAGTTTGGATCCTGTGAGCGCGGAAAAGTCCACTTATGTTGAAGCGCTTTGGGATGTAGTGGGGAAAAGTCATGCGCAAGCAGCTATACAGGCTGGGGAGTCGATCACTTTCTTGTGTCGAATCTGGCAAGCCCGGGAATCGGGAACTGCAGTCTCGAATGATTTGACTGAAAACCGTCAATCTGTGTTCCTTTACTGTCCACTCAGCGTGGCCTACTGTGCCCAAGACTGTTTGCTTGTGGAACATAGTTGGCCCATCCGGTGCACCAGACAGTTTCGAAGCTACGAGAGCTATCAGATCCCTTCATCGACCATCCGCCTACCAAGATCTCATGGATGGGAACTGCAAGAAGTGATTTATAAAATAAATATTGCCGTTGTTGGATCCAGCGGCCTGTGGACGTGTTCTTACGGTGGAATCAACTCCAATGCCGTTAAACTTCGTGTCAGAGGTACGGCCATATAAAGTGGTATTTAACTAACGTGTTGTTAATCGTAAGCTGATTCCAAATGTTTCGATTTCCCCAAAAACTGGTTTCTGGTCCTCAAGTTCATTTACAGGCGGAAGTGTTTATGGGGTTGCCATAACTTTTGTATTTCATTAGTGCACCGGGTGAACTGAACACAGCCACTAATAACCCACGCATATTATTCATGCACACCCTATTGGTCTAGCGACGCAAAGAATTGCAATATATGGTGGCCGGTTACACAAGACCGAGTCACCCACAAAGTCATAAACATACCCAGGGGCATACGAAGGAATGCGATTACACTAGGGCAATAATTCGTCGGTACACTGCGTCCCCTAAGTTGTGGAGTGTATTCAGTCGCCTTCCAATTTCCGGTCTTTGGGACGAACAATGGCACCCAGCTTATTCACTCATCTGTCTGTAAGTACATGAAACCCAGCGAAATCCACCTTACAATATTGTGCGATTTAAAAACCGCGATGGTAAACGAAAAACTGGAATAAATAGTTATCCTGAAGAATCATGGTATGTGTCGGAAAAATCACTTCTGAACATCACCACGTGTATTCTGCTTGAAAGTGAATTGAGGTATACCGACTCTGAGGGAAAGTAACAACATATTTGAGCAAGCTGTACAGATGTTTACATGATAAAATGTTTTTTGACCTTACCATGAAATGTGTGCTAGTGAACAATTCACTAGGTTGTTTCCCAGATTGTTGCTTCACTGCATCTAAATATATTCCGGAGTCAGCCATTCAGCGACAGTTCTGTAAAGACTTGTAGAGCTTTTTCATGGATAAACCCGAATCTACCAGCATCTGTCTGAAATGTCTCATGATCAGTCAGCTATTCTTTATAGTGCATTATTTATACCTATTGTGCATGCCCATCTCTACCTAAATAGCGCGAAATACAAGGCAATGAAGTATACAGGTTTACGTCCACTTTTTCCAATGCCATATGGTTCATGAAGCAAACTGATCACTTGCCTGCATCGCGCAGTCGGCATATAAAGTTAGAAGCAATGAAATATTGATCTGATATGGAAAAATAGTAATGAATGAAAAATAGGATTAAATGGACTATAATTTCATGGAAGCTGAAACAAACCTTCCACAAAATTTATGACATAAGGACCACAAAAGGACCAGAAGATAAGTCTTCTAAATGATCGCACATATTAAATCAACGAGCACCATTTTTTGGAGATTCATTGTAGTACAACTCGCCGCTGGTCTATTCTTAAACACTTTATTTAGTGTTTTTATTCTCTGATAAAGCGGTCTAGTTGGATAGAGCTGTAGAATAAATGTGCAATGTTCAAAAGTTGTTCTTGAAAAGACAGCAGTATTATTTGGGAGAAGGCTTTTTTACGAACGACAACATATTTCCAACAAGTTTCAGCTTAATCTATGCCAAGATACAAAGAATCTGCAGTTTCCCCAACTGCCGCGGAAAGGTGCTCATCCTGACAAATAAAGTCTTTAGACCGTGGGATGTCTACTTCATTCCAGGTAGTTGCAGTCACTTTAAAGAGCATTAAGGCTCTATGTGCCAAAGTAGATCCCATCGATCCAATTCGATGTCTTCGTCTACACATTCGTGAGATATGAGGTTACTTCAAATCTGTACATCAGTGCTCAGAGGAACAAGCTGAAGAAAATAATAGTTACTTTGATAGATCATGAATGTAAACTGTGTTTTCCGGTTCAACAATAAAGGTCAAGATTCTAAATATTTGAAGAAATCAATGGAGCAAGCAACCTACGGTGGACAACAAACATCTCCATTCGCGTGGCCAAACGACACAAATATGCGAATTTTACAGTCGTGTTCTTCGCTTATTATTAATATCAAGAAAATGTTGCTTGACAAGGGATTTTCCATTACACAAATTTTGTTGTTTAAAGAGCTATAGTGAACTTGCTGTTTGAAAGGTTTGTGAGATTCACGTGGCTGATGAGTCTCAACAAGAGCGAAACAGATGCAAAGTGTTCCTCGGCTTCTCGGAATAAATTGATTCATTTTCCGGATCGAATCTTGATCGGAAGGCCCATTTCGAGTCATTTTCTACATCCGTTAAGCAGACAAAAATCGTGGTCAGCAGTTATTAATACTCTAGGATGGAGGGCCCACGAATCCCCAGTCTTCCACTGTTAAGGAAGGGAGCTTACAGATTTTGCGGAACTTCGTTCCAGTATAAAAGGAAGGTGACACCCCATCCTGACCGACTGCGTCAAGTCACGTCGACAGTTATTTGCATTACTCAGTTGTGTTATAATCCAAAGTGGAAGCTATTTTCTGGTTTATATCTAGGCTATACAATAAATGAAACGAAGAATAGCCATATTCCAACAGATTCCTTAACTGGGACAATGGCCCATTTGCGCCATACCTAATTGATCTGGATTTAATAAGCACGCTGCTACATGCACCGCATTATGGGGAAGCCGACCATGGTCCATATTAAATTAAAATCTGTTCAACTTTTCACGTGCTTAAATATGCCGTTTGAAAGGAACGACATCGTGGCAGTTGAAGCAAGTCTTATTTCTGCAGCACACAATTATTCGTATTGCTGTCCAATAGTTTAACCTCGTTAAGTTTTTTCCGAGGTTGATAATTTGAATGGAACCCATGCTAACTAAGTAGTTGCAACCGGTCTTCTGAATGAGGGAAATTGAACCAGTGTACAGGAGTTCACGGAAATATGGTCACATATTTCCTAGAGCAATGCTCTGGTGTTCTAGTGGTTCCAGCCTCTGTGGTACTTGCTGAATGCTGACCTCATCAAATGGAGTTTTGCACCGATGGGTCACGTGCTTGAAATGATGCCTAAACATGCTACCGAGCTCGTTCACAGATCGTTCACGGTTCCTTCCCATTCCTTGTCGTTATGAGCCACATATTTAAGGTCTGAATTTTTCCTTGAGATCGCGAAAGCCTTGTATGTTTGAAAGGAAGCCCTACCAATTCAAACGAAACTGTAATTAGACGGAAAAAAATGTGAACTGTCTGGAGAAAAGCCATTTCATTTGATGACAGTGGTCTTTGGATAAAGAGCCTGTTGTGCTGCAGTAGCGGGATAGATGTGTTTTACACCAATGAGAGTTTCGCCAGTGCATATATCCAAAATAAGATGTACAGATATTCTACTTTGAAAATTAGCCTTCAGTTCAAAATATGTTGCTTTTACGAACATTCCAGGTAGGTCTCTTATGTGTCCTCTTATCATACCAATTCACAATGATCTAAAATATCCCAAATTCTGACGTCCCAAAAGAGCATCTCGAGTAAAAATTCACCTTGTCTATCGTTTTTTCTACACTGCATTTTCAGACCGGCCAGTGCTTTTGTCATTTACTTCCAATCCCCCAAGTCCAATCATAGCCGGTACAGCCGTTAATTTGACTTGCGAAGCAGCACCAAGTCCCAACGCTCCGTGGTATAATTTTGTATGGCGTCGGATCGGTAGTCGAATACCACCTGTTCATTCTACCGTAAGACTTTCCGACACAGTGTCAGTGCTTACGCTGACCGCCGCACGATCGACAGACGATGGAACATACAGCTGCCGTGTTACGCGTGACCTGGACAGCAGCGGTTCTATTTGGTGGAATGATGAAAAATGGAAAGATCTTGCCATCGAAGGTAGACAGAATCAAAACAAAGACACTGCGACCAGTTTTCTGGACAACAGAACACTCACTCCCGACCAGCTGATTTTGAAGTTGGATGTGTATCGTAAGTAGATGATAGTTTATTGTAGCCCAAGTTCAATAACCACCAACGTTTTAAATTTGTCAGCATGTACCACAAAACCAAAATGCTACATGACCTGGGGCGGAATCAAAATTTCCCGCAATTATCACACACTCATTAACGTAGCATCATGCCAAAAATTCACCGAATTAGGCTTAACAATTATTTAGCCTTGGGAATCCGGACTAAATTAACTTAGTTGAATTTCTTAGATTCTAAAGACGATGTTGATTTTGCTAATCTATGGTGGTTATGCGAGCTCGAAATGTTTTCGACAATTTCCTTTTTGCCTCAATTCGGTGCTTCCTGACTGAGATACATCCACCGTGTTCGTATACTGATCTTAGGAAAAGGTAAACATAGTTTAACTTCTGATTGGGTTGATATCCAAGAACCACCCCGGTTTACTGAGGAACAATATACCTGTTAATTCTATTGTATCCACTCGTATGATTGGTAATGTGGTGATTGTCTGGTGATTAAACATGAAGCTTTCGAGCCGCAAGGGGATAAGGCATTGATTTGCCTTTTCGAAAAAACTTTCTAAAGTTTCACTTGATAAAAGAGGCCTTATGCCCTCGGAGATCCTCAGGGGGATAGCTGACTAGCTGGATTTGTTGGTTGGATTAAACGTGGGTCAATAGATTATGTACACTCAAAGAGTTTAAAACTTTTTCTATAGAGGAAAATGTAGCGTAGATGGTAGCTGGTTTGTTCGCTGAGCTAAGCAATTTGTGGATTTGTCGAACACTTTCATTCGATATGCTCGTTGCGCACCATCACATTTTGCTACTCAATTCACTCTCAGTTTTACTTAATTGTGGCATTCGTGGAGTTTGTAGGTAATCACCAATGGACGAAAGGACGATTTACTCCTTAGGACATAAATACAATTACTTACTTATTTGTAATTATAATGACAAACTAACCAAAGTAGTAGGCGCAAATATGAGTGGGCGATTTATGCTTATAATTGCCAACATTTCTTGGTCAATTGTTACAGTGAGGCATACCTGGAAATGGGATGCTAATATGTTGATCTTCAATAGTTTTGTTTGTTTGGTTATTAGTTGTTTTTCAAATACTTTACACTTTGGCCAACAACAGTATCTTGTTTAATCTTCTTCCTCCTTTCTCGAACCAAAGCAGATGGGAATTCTTTTTTTTCGATGTATTTCCTTGCTGGCTACTGGCAAAGAAACATAACTGAGGTTTGCATATGTGATTGGCCGAGTAAATAATGTTTATTTTGAGCAGCATGGGAGGAATTTGGTGTTCCAGTTTTTGACATAGGTATCCTTCCGTAGCAAATAACAGGGACATCGTTTGGGCTCGCTCTGATTCCGCTTCAGTTGATAGGGTTGTTACATGCCACCTGAGTAGACAGTTCAGCGTCTTGGTAATTACGCGCAATGATCCTTGAAGACTCAACCCTAATGGACTCACAAAAGTGATTATTCTTGTTGAGTTGTCTCCTCTGAAGGAATTCCAGTCGATGAACACAGATGACCAGAATAAATCAACTTGATTGCCCTTTTTCGGGATTACAACGGTAATCATGGGTAACATAACTCTGCGTGTACTTTGCGATTCCTGTCAACTTTCCGAAAACCTATAAAGCAATATGCGTAAAGACCTGTAGATTATCAAGATCACTATGCAAGCAGTGCACAAATTCCGGAGTATATGGAAAAAGCAGCTATTTTCCCTCCTTTGTTCAAGATCACTATGCAAGCAGTGCACAAATTCCGGAGTATATGGAAAAAGCAGCTATTTTCGCCTCCTTTGTACTTGTGGCATCCGAAAAATAGTTTTGATGTGATTCTGTCATTTGACCCGTAATAGCTTGGGAAGATTTCCCTGGGTTTACCGTCCGAGATGGTCTTCAAGTTTATAGCCGACAGTTATTTGGAGAGTTGGAGTAGCAATACAAATACAATACAAATACAAAGCTATACTAGTACACTACACAATAATTACTAGTCTTGCTAGATCTATAAAGTTACGTTGTCTTCATAAGTTTGTTAATACATCAGAATATCAGACAAACCATCGAGAGATAATAAGGATACAGAACATTATTTAGGTCGTTGCAAAATAAGAAAAGCGCAGTATCAATGAACAAAACTATGACGATCTTGGATTACGATTGCATAAAAAGATGAAGCTAATTGGTACGATATTCGAGGTATCACACCCCTATGAGATGTGTGTTACGTCTACGAAATGTATTGCGATAGTTTGAATATCGAACCAGCTGAAACTTGAGACAGCCTGGTGCAGAATACTCAGTTCGTAGAGAATTGCATAAATGGGAGATTCTTCTGGAATTCAGATGAGCCTCTCGTGAAAACCGAATTGGCACGCAAGGGAACCTACTTATCTAACTGATCCTTAGATAGATGGAGACTGATAGATAGCACGAGAGCATTTAACTCAGATCCGCCTGAGAGACCTGTGGAAGGGGAATGTTTGTGGCTGAACTATGGAAAGAACAGGTCATCTGAAAGATAACTGCTAAATAGTGCACTTTAAACTGAATAACTCCATTTCGTTAGAATAAATGGATGCAAAGAGGACGAAAGCATTGTGTTACATAAGTTTGTTTTCACTGTGCGTGGTTGTAACGATAGTAACGACTGTACACATTAAAAAGTGATGATAAAATATGTTCAAAAACTGCACTGGCCCAGGTAAAATTGCCGTGCTTCAACCGTGTTATGAACGATGAGTTTAGGTCTAACACTTGGACGTTTGATAAAATGCACTTTTGCCGGGGGTCCAAGTTTGGTGGTTACGTTGTATCAAATATTCATTTCGTCTTCATCCATGAAATAAAACCAGAGTTACCCAGTAGTCTGTTTGGTTCATCCAATGTAACACAAATTCATGATTCTTATCAGTCTATTTAGCACATCAATCCACCCCAGAAGCAAGGAAAGGGAACAACTCATCTCTTCTAAATCAACAGTTGATGCTGGCTGGCCCACTTACGTCGCTTTACCTAATAATGCTTATTAAGTAGACGAACTAACAAAAGACCGTTGGGAAAAACTGTGTTCAAAATTAGTGCGCGGTCGTTTGGGCCGAGAAAGTGCTTGGTAATGTGATACTGGTAGGCCTGCGTTGCCTCATCCGTTACATGACAGCGTTTTGGGTAATAAGCACAACAGAAAATGATTGAAGGGTTGACATTTCCGAAGAATTAGTAGTACGGTGCTCTGGAGCAAACACAAGGTCTTACAATATTAGCCAGTAGACTAATCGACAGGAGTTTGATAATAACGCGGATTTAGTCTTTAAACGGCAGATAACCTAACCGGCTTAGTCGTGTTTCTACTCCCTCTAATAATAATAGCGATAAAGTCTATTCTGCACTACCTGAGGAAGTCTGAAGTTGAGCCAACGGAAAGCAAACAGCCCAACTAACATAACACTTTCTTTCATCAAAGACACAAAGGTATCAGTCTTTTGACCGCTTGTTTAAGAAACTACTCTTTGTTGAAAGTCATGTTTTCCTTTCGCCTGAACCGAATGGCAGTGTAGTGTAGGAATAGAACAACCCAAAACAAGCGTTCAAAATCCATGACCAAGACTAACAACTGTTTTTCCCAGTGACTTCTTTCGCGCAGAACAACAGTCTTGCAGACGAGTTCACGGATGACTAATGCCAGGTAAATAACTCCCAAGCCAACTGCTGTGTGAAGGGTTGGTGGTGATAAGGAACTTGGAGGCAAATTGTGGTGCCTTGTGACGAAGACACATTGCTTCCTGACTAGGTCACTCATTCGTTCAGTCAATCACAAAAATTTTAAGCTGGCATGCTGAGGAAAACAGTTATTTTGACAACAGTTGTTGAGAGTGTGTACTTATTTCATGGTCCATCTGGAAAGCTTAGGATTTTCCGCGCCTTTGAAAAGTGCGTGGGGAACTCGGCACTGACAATGGGGAAAATGATGGCCTGAAACGAAAAAAAAACGGTCGACGTCGTTTGCAGGAGAATCGATTTGTGTTTCACCAAATGAAAAGTTCCAGGATCGCTGTAATAACTTCATCCCATTAACAACCGATAAAGTATATCAGATGAAAGCGACAAATCTGCTTTACCGTATACCGAAGAAAGCGCAAAATATATGTATGTGTACGAGAATGCAGTTTCTTGGTTTGTAGCGCAGCAACATTCCAATCACGACTCACCGGTTGATTTTGTTTATTAATTTATGGTTAGATGTTCCTCAAGGACCTCATATGGTTTTCGACCGTAACCTCGCAACCCTCGCCCACCAGAATACCGCTTGTCGATTTACCCATGCCTGTATTTGGTTGGTCATCAAGTGCATAACCGAATGACATGAAACTGCAAGAGTGAACGTGCGTAAGATGCACTCATCAGCCTCTACTAGGATAGCGTCTACATAAGCAAACTATGGCATCACGTGGATATCTTGTAGATGCTCTTTGCCACTGATCACTTAAGTCTACTTTCATACTAGTAAAAGCTCCAAATTTATAGAACAATAAGATATCCTATTTTCGGGCTTAGCCTATGCTATTCCTACAACCGAACGCAGATTTTTGGTTAGTTCTATTAGCCCTCCCTTACAAAGATCGGGTTCGAGGCACTCCTGATCAGTTCGAATATTGTGTTGACAAGGTGGATTCAACTAGCGCGCTGTCTTCTTCCGCGAACAGCACAAAGGATACCATGCATCTTACAGTACTTTTGTGAGTCGTTCAATAAGACCAACTCAACTCCTGATGTACCCTCAAATCTATCGGAGCGCAGCGAATAGGCCTAAATAATTGTTGCTGTTTGCTTCGTTCTAAGCGATGAAACGGTGAAGATAGTTTGGGTCAGTTTCTGTCCTCTCTGATTTAGATGATTGACAATCGATAATTTTACGCTGGATTAGACCATAGACCATTTGGGATAGCTGGCATTAAATATCTAATTTTGTTAGGCTTTGTTTACCGATATATTATAAAGGTCGTGGCCAAACACCGTGCTTGTGAACGTGAAATCGTCATATTCTTCATATCACTGCGGTCCTCATTTGTTTTGTACTTCGCACAACCGGATGAATATACAAGTCACTGTAACAGAGTTGTGGAATTTTAAGCATATTCGCTAGAATGAGTTTTCTACTGAACGGCATCTCGAAGCTTGATTGTTTAAAGTCAGTCGAGAGCCTAATATGGCTTGGAATGCAACAGCATACTAAATGAACCAGGTGAAATTTCATCTTAACGTAATGACCACTTAGTAGTGCATATTAATCACATTCGGCGTAACTACACCTAATGCAGCCGAATAATCAAAAACTTCGTCCGTATTGCTGAACTTCGAAACGGCAATTCTAACATTCGCATTTTGTTTTAAACTGAAAAATATACTTCTTGACGGCTTTTTCTCAAATTACAGACCCACCTGCAAACTTGACGTTCTCTACGGATCCAATCGGACCACATCGAGTCGGTAGTACTGTGACACTTACCTGTCTCATTCATGGAGGAAAACCAGAACCAGTTATAAATTTCTATCGTATAACTGCCACAGATGATGATTCGGTTTCCGCGTCACACAACCTACAATATTTCAATCGCTCGGGATCCCAAAACGAGAAGATACGAATTCGTCATGGCTTGGCAACTCTGTCGTGGATAGCACACCGGGAGGATAACGGTATAAAATTCGGTTGCTCTGCAGCCAGTGTGGTAATTACTGGACGACTGCTTTCAAGCCCCGTCAGATTATCAGTCATCTGTAAGTAAACATACGCCAACGGAGGCGTTTGTTGGTTCGTTTCACTTGTCAGTAGGGAGCCCAGAGCAAACCATCCGTAAACTGTGAATTGCCCATGGGTTACAAGAGTTGTGGTCTACTATTCGCCTTTTTTTTAAATGAAACACTATCAGAAACTAATTAAACATAGTCCGACAAAGCGACTGTATCTTTTGCTAACTTCCAAGATAGTCTGCCGCGCCTGACTGATCAGGAAACTTAACTTTTGCCATATGCAGTGAATTTTATTTATCCACCCGTTTATGAATAGGCTCGTTGACTTCTAGGTGGAAGAGATCTTCCGGGAAATTTTGTATCCTAATTTATCAAATACTATTCCCACCACGATACAACACGAGATTCTGATATTGGCTAAATAATATTAATGAGGTAAATTTTTACGTGTCAGCGTTAGTTTAGTACTCTGGTTGTCCAGGTCTAGCCTGGACTGCCTTGGAGCAATTAGTCACGTAACTGTTACGAGTGATAAACATGAGTCGGCTAAGGCCACAACAATGAGCAATATGAGGTCGTGAGCAAAAATTATATCTCTGCATGTTAATTAAATGTCTGCGTCAAATGTGTCGATTGGTCACGAGAAACCTGGTAACGCGGTTACTTTTTAGAAGATTCATTTGGTAATAATAATTTGATAATTCATTAAGATGGTGAAGAATTTGTCACATATATGTCAAGCTGCTACTTGCCACTTTCCTCGTTGTAGAGGCTTCCGTGGATAATGTTTTTCAGCAGTTCAAACTTGTGAGGCTCCTTATTGCTCCACTTATCTCTTCTCGGTGTTCAGAGCTGGAGAAAGCACAGCGTTTGAAACAATGTATCTCAGTCGCTTTCATCTAGACTTGAGCACCATGGCGGTATCCCAGCTCTCATGCTTTCTTCGGGTGGGAAGCAACTACCCATCTAAAGGGTGCTACTGCTTGAAGATTATCCTTTTTAAATGACCGATCAATGGTCTTTTCTGAGTACTTAGGTAGATAAGATGGAGAGCTCATTTTTTTAAATGTGTTATCTGATCTCGAGAAGCCTATACAAAATCCGTGGACCCATCATCTTTCGTCATCTCACTCCCTATAATTTTTTGAAGTTGTTGACAAACTGTGGTATACCTGCCATGGGATAAAAATAGGAGTTGCTTCATTATTTCAAGATGCGTTTGAAAATTTGTGAAATTCACTACTGAAAGCCCAGTATCTTGATGTTGGCCTTACAAGATACGGTTTATTTCCCCTGCCCGATTGAGCAACATGTAGTTTTGCCTGAGTTGAAAATGTCACCTTCAGACCTCTTCAACTCAACAGATTTACTTCCCTGATATGAGAACCTGGCTTTCCAAATCGATATAGATGACCAGGAGAAATAATTGACGTATAAGAACATTCTTTGATACGATGTCGATTCAAACCACTTTTCATCCGGGCTTATGAAACCTTGCGCTGTAGTTTGATTTAGTGGAAAATGTCCGAGACGCTCAGAAACCTTGAGGGATTGAAAAGAAACGTGTATTTACAGTATGTTCTTAAAAGAAAACAAGAAGAGTTCTGCTGAGTGACCGAACGATCTCTGAACGACTGTAGATCGGATAATTTGAGTGATAATGGTGGTTGTGGGTTAATTAGAGAGATTTGAGACGCGAGTGAATACTTGGTGAAGGATTGGGAAATCATCGCTCACCTTTATCGAGTAGACAAATATGAGAACCGAGCAAAAAACATGATAACGAATTAGCCTAAACACATTAAAGTGTAATATGTGGAATGTGGTTACGACATGAATAATGCAGTTTGCAATTCTTTGTCAGCTATGACTGAAGCCGATGGTGCAGTCTAAATGCGAACAACCCGAATGGTATTCCACGATTACCATCAGCGGTTTGATGATTACGAAAAAATACTACGTCTGTCCAAATAAGGATTTCATGTTAACCGTAACTGCGTTCGATAATTTGGATTTGTTGGCTTGTGATTATTGCTTGCGCACATATTTGATTTTTCGAAGTTAAAACCCGAGTAAACCGAAAGCATTTTCTAAATTTTTGCGTCCGTTCAAACTGACTTCTGAGAATCAATGGCCCGGCTAGGTTTATCCAACTGTGCTGCGGCTTGGTGGGTGATCTTTATGGTTCTTTAAAGTTCATGCCACCGACCGTATGAAGTTTTGAATAATACAGGGTTCTTGGAGGAGTGAACACATTTTTAAACGGAATTTTTATGCCCTTGGGTATTCCCAAGGGCATCCTTCCCACATGAAAGGCTACTGTAAAGTGTTTTCCACTTAAAGGAGTGCTCACAAGTATACCAGGCTTATACAGGAGCTCAGTTACAGAATCGAAACTGCTACACGTACTGAGACCAGTTTGGATTCTTCTGTTGTCTGCCAGATTTGACGGGATATTTTTTTCTACAAATTTATGTTTAGTGTGGGCCCTTGTTACTTGTGCCCGAGCTGGATTGCAGTGATCTACAGGTTTCCTGAACTAATCCGTCATACTGTCCCACCCTCCACTGCCTTACCGTCCGCTGTCTTACCATATTCTTCTTACCCAGACCATTCTGTCACGGGTAAACTGCCTAGGTTAAAAGTTGCTTAAACCACACACGTTGCCGAAGTATATCTTGCGAACATTAAATTTGCTTTCCCTAACTAAGTCTTTATTTTGACCCACATTATGGTAGCCTCCGATTTGTAAGAAGAAATCTAAACCTATATTTATTGTGGTAGAATACTCGCGCTTTTAACAGACGGCCATCTGATTGGAGCAATTTGTACAGATACAGGGTACAGTGAGTTGAGAGAAAAGTTGGTTTCCGATGGAAGGCTGTTCTTAACGTGCGATATTGCTACTAAGATCCACTGTCACCGTCAGGTAATCGCTGTGTGACAATGATTTAGTAAAGTGATTCAATACACTGAGTTGAAAAATATGTTTACCTTCAATCGTAGGTTTCTACCAAGCCGGATACATAATATTACCAACCAAGTTGGATGAATCACAGGTCAAATATGCCTTTGTCTGAGTTTGAAAGCAGCTGCATAATTCATGTGGGATTCTTCAAAACAAAGTGCCTACAGAAGCTCCAACTGTTTATCGCATACGCTGAAAAAACCTATAATAATGTACAGCGTCAAAATCATCATCTGAAACACTTGTCATTTAAGTAATACTTAATGATTAAGTTTCACTACAGAATGTTCACAGTCGAAGAGTTTTCAGCAACCTTGTGAGTAGTTTCCTTCATGAAATTTAAACTTGTTTTTGACCGGATGTCAACAAAATTCTTTGCTTCTACGAATGTTTTCGACTTTCTGTCTAGAAAGCCAATAAGAAACCATAAGGAGAGGCAGAAAATTGCACATTCTATTCTTAATCTGTTTGTCGAATGCACCGAATTATTTTCAGTTCCCCCGGGACCCCCCATCTTGACTGCGTTTCCACAATCGGCCGTGAGTGAGAATAGAACGCGTATTTTCAAGTGCCGCTCGTCTAGTGGAAGTAACCCACCGGCCTTAGTGAAGTGGAAGCTATACACTTCGGTTGATTATATCACCAGTTCTGGGACGGGCAGTCCCAAACAACCCACTATCTCAAGAGCTTTGGATCGATTGCTCTCGGGAACCAAGGAGGCACACGTGTTTGATGCATCGGAAATTGATGATTTTCAAGCAGACGGTCGCCAAGTTACGAGTGCATACCAAGGTACACATCACCGGGACCCAAATAACCAGGGCTTTATAGCCTATGGAGAGGCCCGCCTGGTCAGTCGACCGTGGTACAATGGAGCTCGTGTAAGCTGCCACTTGGATTGGCCTGTGAAAAACGTGCTATCCAATACGACCTCCAACGCCAACCATTCAGAAGAGGATTTGGAATATCTGAAGCCCGCTTACCTCACGACAGAAGTGTTTTGTAGGTTACTTTTAAGTATATCACGTCGTTGCTTCTTAAATATGAAATAGAACCTTGTTTAGACTTTGGCGTCATAAATTGAAGAACTTTCTCTAGAAATAGGTAGCAAGCTGCGCCAGCATGTATTTGTTTCCATTGACTAGAAGATATTCTAAATCAGACAGGGTTGTTGCCTCATTGCATGCATTGATTGTTGAGAGGAAACTATTACGTGTATTTCAAATGACATGCGGCTGTATGGGCAACAAAATAATAAATTCAGTGTTTTCCCTAAAAAATATTCTGCTATTGATATACCAAGCAAAACCCTTAAAACCGTTTTTGCCTCCAGTGAGCCTTGCCGTTCGTCGTGATATACTCAGTCGTGTAGCTGAGAACTCGGTAACCTGAATAAAGTAGTCTGAAAGCCAAAAGCTTAGCATATGTGAATAGGCAGGTATTTTCATAAACTAGTGTCCCGGGGTGGCATAACCACCTTAGATTCCACAATATGAAGGAATGTCACACAGGAGTTCCCCATCAGCTTCTCGGCATTTGAGATGGCCTTCGACCGGTTGGCTAATACGGTGAATGATTTGCAGACGCCTACTACAGATTTAATCAACTCTTCTGAACTGTGTGCAGCAAGGCAAGCATAATAGAACATGTTGTTGATACAAGAAATCTTCTCCAGTTTGGACGGGCAAACAATTTTCCGATTAGACAATGTTGAAGGCATTATAATTCCAAAGGAAACCTGTTTTGAGGCAGCAGTCTATCTTTTAACATTGGAACGCAGTACCTGTTCCTTCAGACCTGACTGATAATCACTGTCCTTTACATATATAGCCGCAAAATGGTAGCCCCACATATTGACCTCAGTCAGCCATTTTTTCCTCGCGTTCTTTTAAAAAAAGGTAATTTGAATCAGCGGTTGGTCGTTTGATTCTGTTCAGTAAATTAACTGCTCTCCCAGCCCGACACAAAATACTATAACTTCCCGTGGATTGTGGTGTATTACTGTCTCAGTCTAAGAATATGAAGCTAATTAGGTTTGGATGCAGACCAAATGACGGTTTCACATTTTCTTTCATGGATGCATTTTCACGTCTTAGAAAATTTACACAATGCGGGTCCATTAACTTGACTGTCGAGTAACGGGAGATGGGCGATTTCGCTCACCAGCCGGTTTAATTGACAAACTTAACAGTGCACATTGGGAAACATAACCAAGTACAAACATTTGCAGCGGAAACGCTTTACTACCGAAACCTTTCCACTCTCAGCATTTTCGCGCACCAGGACATTAGCGAAAGAAAGGGATTTCATTTTTCATCCAAGCGCACTGAAATGTCATGCGTAGCTGTAAACAATGCCACTTTCTTGCTTGAAAGTTAGTCATGAATTACCTACAAGTATCCAGAGATGCCACAGTGCAAGTATCATCTGAGTTGTTACAAAAACGAGAATACTGCCTACTCTTAAGCTGATTGCGACAGATCAGACGAGGCCTTTCTCTGAAACGCGTGAGTTTGGATAATGGCAGGACTGAATGCACTTTGAATGACCCGATTGGCGTCATCATGACTCCATGTACAGTGACGTTAGGTTTACCTACCAAGTCATAAATGAATGCTTAAAAGCTGAAGGTACTTTATGGCACCATGTTGCAATAGTGCAACTTAGGCCTCCCACGCTGGCGACAAACTACCAGTCGTTTGAAAAATGCAATCCGCATTGATCGATAAAGCCAATAATTTATCCGGACTGTGACCAAATTCGTAGGTCAAAAGAATTCTGACCGAGTTGGCGCCTGCGTAAATTCAAGCGTACTATACTGGATATTTGTGAACTGCCGCTGTGAGTGCACAAAAACCGTAACTTAGTCCATCAAAATGGACTTGAAAATCCAGTAGACTTCTAGGTACTTAACCTCAAAAACTTCCACTACAGTAGACCACTTCCTACACATTCTACACTCAGTTAGAGATCGTGAGTGGCTACAAAAATGTTGGAGATAAAGTTTATATTAGCGTTATGCTGCACTTAAAGGAAACGCAGTCAATTATTTAGCATTTTAATACAGATGAAAATCATGCGAAGACCGAAAGTGATGAATGAAATTATTTCCAGCACAACCGTGTGTCGTATCGAATGGTTTGATAGAATTTTGCCGCAAGTGGGTCTTAACTGATACTATCTAGATAGATACTGCAAAGATTTCCCCTTCCACAGTTTCCTTTGTTTGTTATGTGGCTTCTCTCTAAAGATCCTACCAAGAACAATTCACATTTGGTTGAAAGAGCTTTGCATATCAATTTGGTTTCGACGCGAAGCTCACCTGGAACCCAGATAAACCTCTCCCCTATGATGTTTTTATGATTAGTGTACTGGGGGCTCTGATAGACTTTTTATCCGACTGTCGTGAATTACAACCCTAGTTGGTGACAGGTAGGCAACTTTGCTTCCAAACTAGCCTCTATCAGAGCTGTATCATAACACGGAACTTGGTAGCTCTGGTAAGCTTCTTTCTTTCTCCGGGGCTTTGGAACAAGCAATTAGTAAGTTCAAGTTCCTAGTCCTCACTGATCACAGACTGGCGTTAATCAAAGTAGCCAGTCGTCATATGAGTCCCCTTTCCAAACTGAAAAGAGGACTGTTACAACAACGAGACGCGAACATGCAGTATCACACCCGTTCAATGGTTTCACGAAATCCTGTTTAACTCTGGTCAGAGTGCAATTCAGACACAAAAGTTCCGCATGGGAAAAAGGTTGTTGGTGCAGAAGATCACTACATCGAACGCAAAACCTTCTAATTCTTCCAACCGTCCTTCTGCTCTATTTACAGTTGCCCCTTCAATTGTCACGCTGAGTGTGGATCCTCGAAATGGCATACAGGAATTCAGTGGCCAACAAGTCATCGAATGCGCCACGACCTCCTCCATCCCACAAGCTCAAATCACGTGGTTGCGAAGACGACCGAAGCAAGTGGCGGCACAGGAAAACTCTACTCAGCCCGAAAAGCAAGCTGAATCAAGTTGTTGTGGGACGCTTGAAGATCCATTGGAAACATTCAAGGACGATGAGATTGTGGAGGATGGAGTGAATATAGATATGGTTTGTCCTATGATTAGCACACTCGGTCGTTCTACTTCCAGGTTGTCACTTTGAACACAAATATTTTCCCCCGGGATTACACGGACGGCAGTACGCAGACGACTAAACGAATGTGCAACGAGCTAAGAAGTGGGATATTCCAAAATTATTTGCATGCCATATCCTCGTGTAACAGAAGAGGCAAGATATAATTGGGTGTACTCCGAGGTTATCCTGTGTAACTCACTGAATTCTCAGAATATTGTACCCAAGTGTAAATGCTGCTGGTTGTTCACACAGAGGACTTATGCTACGCTATTGCAGGCTTGTTTGCGAAACACGTTGTTGTCCTAAACATGTATAAGAAAGTAATGACAAATAATGCTGAATAGGCGTTCGTCTTGTAACGACCCATGTGACAAACTCGTTTCTATTTTTTGGGACATCGAGGTAAGAACCATGGAATTTCAGGTTGGACACCATCTCCCGCAAAGAGGCTGCCCCTATTAAGCTCCCTGTCAGGTTGAGGGTTGTAGTCTTTAAATACAAATATTTGATTTTCTGTAAGGTTTTAAGTAGTGTAATGCGCTCTCAGTTTTGGATGAATTTCTTACTTTTAACAATCGATACTCAAGGAGCCAATCACAGCCTGATCACGTGAATAGGAATTGTGCGGCTTAAAGGCAGCACAAACACTGTCAGCCCACGAACTTCAGGTCGATTGTTACCGCAGTTCCTTCTGACAGCAGCGCAAGAGGTTTGTATACATACGGTGTGTCAAGTTCCATGGAACCTCAAGTTCTTTTCAAAACCACCTTTTGAGGGAATGTTGATTATCCCCTTCAAACGCGCAGTTACGCCACTGAATTCGAGTAACTTCACTGCACCTGTTAAGATGTTATGGAGGCTTATTAGGATCATTTTGCGGGACACAGGCAGAAAAAGATACACGTCCATATAACATTTGAAACCTTCTGGACACCTTTGATAGTGATAGTTTGAGTGCGATGTTGAGCATAGCCTAAACTGTTCTCTGCGAGAATACCGAGCCGAATTCATTGGTCTGTTTGATAAGTCAGCATAACATGTAAGAGTACAAGACGTATTGTTCTAGGGACAAGGGTTGTTTGAGGTCCACATCAACTATGAATCATATGCGCTGTTCCGCCGCAGGCAGGTTTGCGTAAAATGACAGACTATCCTGCCAACTCTAAGGGAACGCACCTCGCCATATGTGTTACAGAGTATATGCAGTCCAGTTCAGTGGAAAGTGTTAAGGACGGAAAGTGCGGTGGACGCGTTGGCGGCAAAAATCGGCCTCAGGGTTGAGCATTCATGCTAGATTTGTGGACCGGTGCCGTAGCTGGACTGTAATTTCGATAGTCCAGCATTTGAGCAGCAAGGGGATTGGGGTCGTTAGCTTGTGGTTTAGTACCTCATAGACTGAGTGTATTTGAAAATATATCGTAATAAAAAAGAAACCCTCTGCTCTGTGTCATCTCACGCTTTTATTTAACTTCCGTTGTTTTGCCGAGGTGGATATCACAGAAGGACATAGATCCAAGTTTCCCCTAATCTATTCCTGTATGACAGGGCCGTTTAGTTGGATGCTTAAAGGCTGGTCGTAAGTTTCGAGAGGTCTAGCGAAGACTCAAATGAAGATATTAGTTCCTGGTCACAATAGCTGCCAGCTTTGTCAGGAAATTTGGCTATTCTAGCCGACGAGCAGTTCCTGTGAGAGATTGGGCAACCATGTATTTGAAAATTCACCGCTTGCTACCCGACATAACTTGTGCGTACGCTTGAGCACCTTCGTTGAGCAGCAGATACCTACTTCTGTATTTTGTATGCAAAGTCTGGACATGAACATATGGTGCACTTAGCTAGGAGGCTTTTTCATTATCATTCTAATTACACCAGTGAAAAGATAATGGCATTTCACTTCAATCTGAATGATTGTCCTTCGTCGAAATTCATTTATCTGTTTGACGGATATTCGCACACATACATGGATTTCATCTGTGTAATTCATTTCACAACAGTCAACTTTTGCCTGTCATGCTACTTTTTACATACGCATAATAAACTGCATAAAATGAACATCACCTGTTGTTCCCATGTCACGTTACTGTGACTTCAGTCAATCCATATATAGATACACTTGGAATGTCCTTGACTAAGTTACACAAGTGCGTGCATGGAACCGCACCTGTGTAATCTATTGTGTGGACATTGTATTGAATGTTTTTGTGACAGCTGTAGCCTGTTCAAATTAGTGGCGCGAAGCCTCCATGTCCTGCAGCATCGTCCCTTACTCTCTGTACCCTACGTATGTGACAGCCGACTTTATAATGCGACCAACGTTTATGCATTACAAAGATGCCCCCCACGATTAGTGAGCTCTCTCTAATCGGACGTCGTATTGATTGCTTTTTTGTCTTATGGTCCTTTTCTTCCCAGAGTAACAAATGTGGTAACTATAACTACCGCAGTCTCAAAGATTCATGGCGGTAGGAACAAGCATCAAGAGCGTAACATGTACTATGGTATTCTGCACACTCCGCTGGACTGTTTCAACTCCGCCGCGAAATCGGATGGAATCTGCTTTGAACAATGTTTGCGTAACTTCATGTTCAATTTGCAAGCGAATAAGAAACGATACTGTCTCATTGAAACTGTTACGAGAGAAATCATTGTTTCGAACTGTACGAGATTAGTTTATCAGCCGTGAACGTTAACTCAAGCAGGTTCTCTTTGATTAATTTGCTTCTACACTTGCACGGAAGGTCAGAATAATTCAACTATTGGATTGTCTTATTAATGTACGGGAGTTATTTAAACCCAAAACAGACGCGTTTTCAATGCTGATGGTCTGTGGGACTGGTAAAGCTGATGTAATATTCGACTAGTTGATGAAACGTTTGTCCTTTAAGTAAAGGTATTCTGTGTTCAAATGCCGCGAAGTCCAATAGAGCTGTTTCATCCCTGTCGGGATTCATCTGCATTACGTATCTAATGAATCCATGGAGTCTGGTGCTGCTGAAGCCTGTCAACCAGTCTAAAGTAGTAAAGCCAGTGTAATTCGTTGGAAAGCGGGATATCGACAAGATTTGAATCCACTGTGAGTTGTCAGACGCCGGACATTCAAGCAATGTCTATGACTTTGATTCAATGTACAAAACGCACTATCTTGCCTTGTGTGGGGCGAAAATTTTTCACCATTCCGACATCAGAGTAAAGTGCTTTTGTTTATTTAGAACCAAATAGAATCAAAGCGTTACACATGCAAAGTTCATTTCGGCTCCCAGATACGCCAAAGCAGAAATGAAATGGAGACCGCTTTGTGGTTTGTTCACAGAGATCTATAAGAATGTAATACATGTAACATAGTCTGTAATAGGGTGAAACAGGATGAGGCTGAGCAACACTACCTTTGTCACGAAGAGACTGGACCTTACCGTGGTGTGACGGTTTGCGCACCTCAGCGATCCATTGAGCTATACTGGAGAGTGTCCCGCGACACTCACAGAGTCTCTCATACCAGGTTGGTCAATGGTTAGAGGTCTGACGAACACAGTCTCCTGGCCATCCAGGTTGGGGGTTGGAACATGTGGCGACTTGTTCCGTAGAAATGATGCTGCATTTGCATTTCCCGCCAAACACCGCTGCCTTGCGGTTAGGCTTTTGAGCCAAAGGCTTTGACTGAGGACCCTAATCGTCCTCCTGTCTAGGTGTAGGCGCCCTGGCAGTATCCCAGCCCTCGCACAACCATGACCTACACAACTAACAATATTCTCATGCCACATCGGCAGTCGCGTGGTGCCATCAGCCGGGTCGCCTTACTTGCTGCATACAGCAGGGCGGGTAAGCGAAAACAGGCTACTGCTGACGCCTCCCTTCTTTCTCCTTCACATACTTTTCCTTCCCCCTCTCCCCACCCCATTA